CCCCAGGGCCACAGAGCGGCTGGAAGGATTAAGTAAACTGAAAAAAAATCCACATCATTGGGATTCAATTCCATGACCTTCCAGCTTGTAGCATAGTGTCTCAATCAACTACGCTACCATGTGCCATCAAAGTCCTGACAAAAATAAATAGTCTCCCATCTTTTGAAACACTTGCCGCAGACCATATACTGTCTTGTTGGCTCACATTTCTTTTCCATTGGAAATATTTTTCACGGAAAAATGCCACTCTGTAAGTCTCATTACAGCGCTGTTCTCACCTTTTAAATCTGGCACTTTATGCTGCAAGAACACTTCACCAGTAACCCCTCAATCAAATCTACTCAGACTTTCAAGTAGCTAACCTTCCAACCTACCTTTTCCTGTATAAGATGAGGGAATTGAAAACTGTGGTATTAAGTAGTCTTCTGAACAATTTCATGGATCCCTTATTCATTCTCTTTCTATCCACTGAGTACATCTACAACAGCTGGTCTTCTTATCAATTTGACCCATGTATTGGTTATAATGAATCATACACACGTAATTCTATTTTTCTTTCCACCTCTCTGTTATCGTCTGAACTTCTGCACCACATTAATTCAAGATCACAGGTATATTCCTCATCACTCCACTTCAGAATGCAAAGAGGACCATCATGACGTGCAACAACCTTGCCCTTCTGTAGTTATTTCTTAGGACCAGTCTTCCTGTTTATTTTCATGTAACCATACAATCCTCATTACATGACTTTAGAAATGTCACCACATATACAGAAATATATTAATTTTCAAGCCAAAATGCACAGTGTTTGTGGAGAAGTTAGAACTACTGCTGTTATTTTGAGGGTGTCTTCTTTCTGATATCTACTGTGAAGGACCACAGGTAACAAGAAATTGACTCTCTTAGTTTGAATGCCTTTATTCTGAACTGTTATGATTTCAGTGGAAGGTATTGCTTGAAGGACATGCACAGGGTAAGTGATTCATCAACAGAAGTCTCTTGTTGACATTGATATAAGGTCTGGAATTTTTAACCTAGGTCAGGGACAGAACATATTTTGCAGTCCTTCAAGAATATCCTTGGAAGTTTTATCTACGAATTGCAGAAATCTGCAGATTGGGCTTCTGTACAAGCCCCACAAGCGTGAAAAGTGCCAGGATAATATATATTTCTTCTACTGTCATGGCTGCCAATCATTTACTCTGGACCCCTTGGAAAAAATATTGCCTCTAGAACTTTTCAATTGCTCTGAACAGTGACTTTTCTCATCCACAATTTTCTGTACCAGATCCTTATCAGAAAATAAATTAAATATATTGAAAATGTTAGTCACACCCTATACACTATTCTGAGGTCCACATTTTCTTGTAAAAATCTCTTAGTCCACTATAATTTTCCATACCCTTCTACAGAAAATGTGTCAGTCATAAGAACACTCTCACCACCATCAATGTAAATTATACTGTCTTGTAACAAAACACCATCTTCTTCATCATGGAAGACACTTTTACTGCTTTCATGTGTGTCTGATAATTCACTCTCATCACAATCTGCAAGTCTTTCTACAAAATCACTTTCTAAGATTCCAGATATATCTGCTACATGACATTGCGGCTATGTACTGAAATTCCTACTCATCTGAACAGCAGAATATTGTCATTCTGCACACACAGACATACATGCGAGTGTATACAAAAAGGATTACAAACACAGAAAACATTACAGTGGGAGCCAGAAAAATATAGTCGGTATAGCGACTGGCTACAGGCTAGACGACCAAGGGGTTGGAGTTCAAATCCCAGTAGGGTCAAGAATTTTCTTTTCTTCGTGTTCTTCATGTAGGCAACCAACCCCAGTCATAAAAGATAGACCAAAAACAACTGGAGAATGTGAAATGTTTTAAATATTTGGGTAGCTTGTTAACAGATGATGGAAGGTGTACTAGTGAAATTAAATCCAGGATTGCCATGGCAAAAGCTGTATTTAGCAAGAAGAAGAATATTTTTACCAGCAAATTGGACTTAAATTTGAGGAAGAAACTAGTGAAATGCTACATTTTGAGCATAGCTCTGTATGGGGCTGAAACATGGACACTTAGGGTAGTAGATCAGAAACATCTGGAAAGTTTCGAAATGTGGTGTTGGAGAAGGATGGAGATCATCAGTTGGACCGATTATGTGAGAAATGAAGAAGTGTTAATTAGAGTCAGTGAGCAGAGGAATATCCTACACGAAATAAGAAAACGGAAGGCTAATTGGATTGGTCATGTTTTACGCAGAAACTGCCTTCTAAAAGAAGTTATTGAAGGAAAGATAGAGGGGCGGATAGAAGTGACAAGAAGATGAAGAAGACGTAAGAAGATGCTGGATGAGCTTGGGGACAGAAGAGGATACTGTCATTTGAACGAGAAAGCTCTAGATCACATTAAGTGGAGGAACTGTTTTGGAAGAGACTGTGGACCTGTCGTCTGACAGATTACTGATGATGATGATGATGATGTAATCCAAACCGGCTCTGGGGCCCAGCCTCCTATCCAATGGGTACAGGGGGCTCTTTCCCTGGCGGTAAAGCGGCCGGGGCGCGAATATGACCACTCACCTCCAACTAATGCCAAGGTCAAGAAAATGTGGCTCTATAGAACCCACCCCCCATGAACCTTTATGGTACAGTTCTTAATTAGTTAAGCTCAGGGACAACTTTACCTTTTACCTTTACCATTACCATTCTTAGTACTGCAGTATCCCTTCACAGCCATCTTACCATTTTAATCTCATGCCACAAAAATTTAGCAGTTTTTACATCATAAAATAATAAAATGAAGACAATGTATGCGCTGTAGACTACTGATATCATTTAGGGGTTTTTATACCATCAATCAACACATTGATTCCGTTTTACATAACAAGTGACTGAACTGAATATATCAATAGGTTGACCAGTTTACTATACTGAACACTACCTCTTTCACTTACGGTTGACCATCACCAGTTTATATATACAGGTGTATCACAACTCAACGGCAAAACTTCAGGAACAGACTCCTCATGTAGAGAGAAGAAAAAAGTTTATGACAACATGGGTCTGCAAATGCATATAATTATAGAGTACTAATTGTGTCTGCATGCCACTGAAAAGAATTGGCAGAGGAAAATTTATCATGAAGTAATCACAGGTGATGTCATGATAATCACTGAGCTGTCCTCCCAATTAAAGGTTGACCCACCAATAGAAAGCACTCATGTCACCAATTCGTTTCATTGGAGTGCAGACACAATTACTACTCTGTAATTATATGCATTTCTGCACTCATGTTGTCATATACTTTTTTCTTCTCTCTACATGAGGAGTCCGTACCTGAAGTTTTGCCATTGAGTTGTGATACACCCTGTATATATATAAGTAAGTAAGTAAGTAAGTAAGTAAGTAAGTAAAGCTATCCCTGTACTAGGCCGTGAAGGCCCATAGGGTTGTGAGACATTGAGGGTCCCACACACTCTAGACTATCGGCTCAAAGATGACGCTGGCCACACTTTACTCCCCAGGAAAATGATTTAATTAATTCCTGGTACTCATTTCTGTTAGAGGCTGAGTAAACCCCAGGGCCCAGTGTGGCTGGAAGGATTAGG